TATTCCAAAAGTGTATAATGCTGGCAATATCCAACCAATAATAATAAACACACAGGACACTCTGATGCTGATTTTGTTTGCATAATGAAGAGGCTCACATACTGCATAATACCGATCAATAGCGATAAAACATAAATGGAAAATGGAGGCAAAGGAAAGCAACATGTCAAAAGATGTATGAAGTCTGCAAAAGAATGATCCCAAATACCAGCAAGTTTCAACCATTCTGACCATGCTAAATGGGAGAACAATTAAACCTAAGAGAAAATCAATGGTTGCCAGTGAAAGAACAAGAAAGTTATTTGGTGAGTGAAGCTGCTTGAAGTGAGAGATGGAAATAATCACTACAAGATTTCCACCAATTGTAATAAGGACTGTAAGACCAAAGACAAAATACATAGCTACCTTCATACCAACAGTTCTGTGCTCTTTTATACAGGATTTGTTCATGTCTTCAAAGCAGTATTCTATTGTGTCCATCTCCAATAATGTTGAATTCATAATGCTGAGATTCACAAAATGAGGCTGAAAGAAACAGAAGCCACGTGTTTCAATGAAACCTATTTTAAATTACTTCTGTAAGGAAGAAAGAGAATCAAATTAAACATTTGTCAAAGATATTTGGATGTTTACTTGAAATCATAAGGGATTATTACAAATATCATATTTCCTGTTGCCTGCATGTATTGTTGAAACAAAGAAAATCTTAATATAGTGAAAAATGCTCTATTGGGTGTCTTAAATTCCCTAAACAATGTGAAATACTAGAGTGCCGGGGAAGTTTTATTGGGATAAATGATAAATCATATTGTACACACTTTTTTAAATGTTTCAAAATAATATATTGTGTTTTGTATCTTTTAGTGATTCAAATTTCTGAAGTGTAATCTTAAAATGCCAGTAGAATCCTGTGCTTTAATACACTGTATTAGACTGTTGATGCTTAATGATTTCTAGTTCGCAATTAAATTGCAGTTCCTCAAGGGACGGGAAGATTATTTAATTTTTAACGTAGTCTTTCGCAAAATATTTAAAATGTTTGTTTAAATTAATTAAACTAGGAAACTATAACTCTCGTTCATCATACTGTAAATACTATAAACTATAAATCATTTGTTTGAAATAGAATCCTGTTTGAAGTAATGTACAATATCAATAAATTTCGTTTGAATTGCACTGCGTGTTTACAGAGGGGATACAACTTATTATATTTATATAACAAACTCAAATTACCACTTCAATACTGCCTTTGTCAGAGATCAGGTTAACATTCGGGATACTCACAATTTCTAATTGATTCAATCCATAAAGTTTTTTTTATTCCACATTTATTGACTGAAAGCTTTAAATGAATAACAAAATACTCCTCTTGCCTGATAGGCTAAAAGTACAGAAGATTCAGAGTAAAAACAGCCCATTGATATTTATCTATTAACCTATGTTTATATTGAATGTGTATATATAATTAACTGAGGTAACTCTTACACACTAATATATTATGAACTCAAACACAATGAATTGTGAAATCATAAAACAATACTTACTATTTAACAGGCTCCTCATAAAGACATCTTGCAGAAACTTGCTTTCTCTTTCTTTGTTGATTCTTGTTAGAAAACAGGCTTTTATATAGCACTGGGACTTTGTTATGTTCAACACTGTGTGGATGTCAAGGGGAATATCAAAAAGCTATTGGTCAAAGACAATATACATAATTATGAATAATCCAGCATTGTAAACAGACAATGAGAGAAAGAGATACAGTGCCTGACTAGCAGCTGTTTGCTGTTCCACCTGTAAACAATGGATTAGACCTGTAGTTTAAAAAGGCAATTAACCTTCAATTAAATATTTTATCATCATTTTATATATTATTGTTCCTTTGCAGCCTATGCATGCTGACGCAGCTACCCACCTGAATTACTGGCAGCTTAGCCATGTTTAGTTCAAGCTAACAGGCAGCCCTCAACAGATAGGAAGTTTATAGTACAGATTGTAGCCAATCTTCATAAAATCTGTATGATTTGTGTCCTCCATAATGAAAGAAAGATATGAGTGAAAAGAGTAGAAACATTTCTGCACAACTGTGTATATACATCAATCCATTTTATATCCCCTTCATCCCAATTAGGGTCATAGAGGAATCCAGAGCCTATCTAAGCATCGATAGGATACCAGTCTGACACAGATCCGCACTCACATTAGGACCAGTTTTCCCAAAAATCAATTCACCTACCAGTATGTTTTTGGACTTTTTGATGAAACCAAAATTTTGAGGAAACTCACATGAGCACAGGGAGAACATACAAGCTCCAAGCAGATAACACGCAGGCCCATAATAAAACTCTGGCCCCAAGTAGTGTGAAGCATCCATGCAAACCACTACCCCACTGTGCAACAGAATTATATATGATACCAATAACTAGTTACAATTATATGCAGCATTTTTTCCTAGATAACATTTATGACTATTGAGACTTAATATAGGATTTCACTAATTATTTGTGTTAAATTCGTTAAGATTAACTTAAAAATCTGTTTTCATTGCATTACAAATATGTAATTTTTAGCAGTTTCAAATAAGCAAACACACAATAGTAATACTTTACACATTTATTGTATGCAGTCATGCATAACAAAGGTTAGCTAATACAATTTCTGTGACTGTCAAACATAAAAATACATCATACAGCACATATTACCAATTTTGATCAGCTGCAATAATACATAATGTTATCTTACAGATCATGTAAATAGTGAAATGATCAGAAAGATACTCTGCTGAGAAAATATTATAGAGAAACAAGCTGCTTAACAAAAACTTGAAAGTGTCTTTCTGGTCCTTTCAACATGACTAATACTATTAATGAGTTTCTGGTGATTCATTTCCATTTTCTTTTTTCATGTAAGAGTACTAAGACAAAGCTCATTTGTCATAATATCTGTAAAAAAATGTTTTGTTTCACATCTTGTATTAAAAGGAGCCACAAATTCTGAAATATGTTTTAAAAAAACACAAATACCAATTTAATTGATTTATAAAATATAAATGCATGAAATTATGTTCACATACATATTGCAAAATTTGTTGTAATAAAACAATACCTAAAAAGCGTAAAATCCTTAATTATAAAGGCAAATATAAAACAAAATGTAGATATGCGTTTTGGCTGTGGAGCCTTCTTCAGGTGTGAGAGAGACAGGGCAGTAGGCAAAGGTAAAGTAGCGGGAGAACAAAGGTTGGGAGGGAGGAGGAGTGAGAGGCGGGAGCAGGGGACAGAAAGAGAGGCCAATCAAGAGGTGTGAAGTCAGAATGGGTGCAGAGAGGTGTGAAATGAAACTTCCAATGAATGGAGAAAATTTAAAAGAACAGTAGTCTGTCGTTAAGGAAGGGAGAATGTGTGATCCTAGCTGCAGAATAATTTTAGTTTCGGTGGTCTTTCTGATGTATGAGTTCGGAAAACCATCTTTGAGAACACAGACGGAGAGATTAGAGTGGTCGTGGCCGTCAGAGGTGAAATGAGAAACAATGGGCTTGGAGAGATCTTTAATCTTCACAGCCCTGATGTGTTCTCTGAAGTGGTCTCCGAGTCTCCTTCCTGTTTCCTCCTTCCTGTGAAATGTAGATATATTTATAATATCTCTTGGATGCTTAATGTTTCTGCAGACTTTGTCTGTAACCTATATTCTTTAAAAATCTCCTCATAATTATTTTGGAGGTAATCAAGGTAGGTCTCACCCTGGTTACCAGCACTGCAAAAGAGTGAGCTGTTCTTGTAAGACTTAAATTCTTTTGTCTTCTTGAACCACTTAGCTGCAACTCCTTTTTTTTCCCTGAAGTGATCGATGCATCCTGCCAGACCAGTCAAATAATGAATGGCTCATACAAGTCAAACCGCCAAAACTGACAAGCTAGAAACATTTTTTTTTGTCAGCACTGCACAATCTGTCTTTTTTGATCAAGCTGTCATGCTGATATTTGATACTCGCTAGAAGAACGGGTTTTGTGTGACATTAAGAAAGCAAAGAAGAAACAATAAATTGACTGGGATTTAATATTTTGTTATAGCATTTCCTGTCATGATTCTGGGACTATAGAGAAACACTGGGAACTCACATGTTGCATTAATGTTTTTTTCTGTGAAGAGATAGAAATACCACTTAATACCGCAAGTAATATAATAGTATCCGGAATTACCGCCAGGTGGAGCTAATAAAGCTCAACCTCTCATGTACAACGCTTGAGCTGTTGCCATCAAAGTCTTTACCAAAGATATTACTAATAGTATTGTAACGCATACGGCCACCATTGAGTGTGTAAGAGCCGGCTAACCAGAGCGGTGACATCACCGCCCTTCCCTCTGATAGCAGGGGCTGCAGCCGCTGGGCTGAGGGGAGATCTCTCTTTAGCTCAACAGGCAGGGTCCCTGTTGAGTGACGCCGGAGACCCGGGTTCGAGTCCCCAACGGTGGGGGGGCCGACCTGATGTGGCAGCGGCAAGGGTGCCCATGTGAACCCCCGAGCGTTACAATGGTGTCAGAAGCCGGGTGGGATAGCCCTCCGCCGAGGACGGCGAGTTAAGCGGGGGAGAGTATAACGCACATGAGCCCCCGAGCGTTACAATATTAATAATGAATGACCTTGGACAAGCTGTAAACTCAAAGTATTACCCTGGTCCACATTCTTTGTAACTGTCTTTGTAAACAAAAATACTTTATTTTTTCATTGATGAAAAGTAACACAAAAGTAACACCACAGCATTTCATTGAGCCGATCATGCATTTGTTTCCAATCATACAAAGTAATTCTTGAGAATCTCTGATTCACCATGCCTTTCACATGCTCATAAAAGATATTAGTTTAGGAACATAAACATATTACCGTATGTAAACTGTACTGTATATAGCTGGTCTTGGTATTTTAAAGAAAAAATACACACCAGTAATCCATTTCTCCCTAAACATTTTAAGCCTCAAAGTCTTACATGTGGTTATGTCGGAAACGTTTTTACGTGCTCCTTGCTCCTTCTGACCATGTCACTGTAGGTTTATACAGTATACAGTACTTTGTGAGAAAAGTGATAGTTTTTCTGCGAATACGCTTGATATCGGAGTAAACAAGCATACTTTTAGAATTTGATTAATATAATATATAATATGGAATCGTGTATCTAAAGAAATTAATAACGATATAATTATATTCATGCGGATATATTCATATATTCATGAGGATCACACATTCTCCCTTCCCTTAACGACAGACTACTGTTCTTTTAAATTTTCTCCATTCATTGGAAGTTTCATTTCACACCTCTCTGCACCCATTCTGACTTCACACCTCTTGATTGGCCTCTCTTTCTG